GCTATATGAAACAAATGACTATCTGATAATTTCACAGCTTTCCTAGTAAATTCTGTTTTTTTTAAATAGCTGTGAGAATGTTAGTGTATTAAATTTGTTTAATCATAATTGAAAATTCTATTCACCTCTGCAAAAATCTAATATGGCTTCCTTAAGGAAAAATAAACTTGGTGCTGGATGACAAGAGATGAAACGTCATATTGAAATTGTAATCGTGCCATCTTATAGAGGAGACCACGTCCAACTTATTTTGAAATACCACTACAAACAAAGTCAGGAAAAAAATTAAAATGACTGGTAAAATTCGTTTTTTGTTTAGTCTCTCTCAGGAAGTACTTTGAATTTCGAAACTTTCCAAGTGACATTTTGTTTGTTACCAAAATACGTCACTATTTCTGTCATTTAAGCGACTTCATATCCCTTACCGTTTCTGAGATCCCAATGGTGGATCTAACCTATTTATTAAAATAACATGATTGCAATCTTAATGGTAGTAATCTGAAACGTACCTTTTTTTGCTGTATAAATCAACAGAGCAAAAAAGAGTATAATAGATCAAAATTTTAACGGGCGGGATGTACTAAAGGGTGTCCCAAAATTAACGCAAGATTTGAATTTGCCGCCATTTGTGCAGTGAAGTGTTGGCAACCCTGAAAAAAAGCAATTTGACAGCTAACAGTATAGGGTTATGAAAAATGGAGCGTTACACGATAGAACAACGTGTCTTCATTATTAAAGAATATTTCAAAAATAGTGAAAGCTTGGCGGCTGCAGTTCGAAAATTTCATACAAAATATGGCCGGAATAGTGTTTTAACTTCGTCAACTGTGAAGAGATTAATTGAAAAATTCATGGAGACTGGATCCGTTGGAGACGCCAAACACACTGGTCGTCCAAAAACAAGCCGTTCAAATGTGAATATCGAAGCAGTGCGTGAGAGTGTTGCGGACAATCCAGGAACCTCAATTCGACGTCGTGGACAAGAATTGCAAATGTCAAGAACCTCTCTACAGCGTATACTCACCAAAGATCTGTGTCTTCATGCTTACAAACTTCAATTAACACAACAATTGAAGCTTAATGACCATACAGAGAGAAGAGAGTTTGTTGAATGGATTATTGAACATCAACAAATGGACCCTGATTTTTCAAGCAAAATCATCCTAAGCGATGAAGCACATTTTCATCTTGATGGCTTTGTCAATCGCCAAAATTGCCGCATTTGGGGTTCGGAGAACCCACGTGTGATTGTCGAAAAAGAAATGCACCCACAACGCGTGACTGTCTGGTGTGGATTTTGGGCTGGAGGCATAATTGGGCCATATGTTTTTGAAAATGATGCTGGTCAAGCAGTGACTGTTACTGGTGCTCGATATCGCGACATGATTACATAGTTCTTTCTGCCAAAATTGAATGATATTGATGTACCCAATATGTGGTTTCAACAAGACGGTGCCACATGTCATACAGCCCGTGAAACAATTCAATTACTGCATGAGACATTTCCCGGTCGTGTACTCTCTCGTTTCGGTGATCAAAATTGGCCTCCTAGATCGTGTGATTTAACACCATTAGACTTCTTTTTATGGGGTTATTTGAAATCACAAGTCTATGTCAACAAGCCCACAACCACCCGTGCATTAAAGGAGGAGATTCAACGCTGCATCAACGAAATTCAGCCACATTTATGCAGAAGGGTCATGGAAAATTTCGACAAAAGAGTGCGCATGTGCATGCAAAGCCGTGGAGGCCATTTGTCCGATGTGTTATTCCATACATAACCCTATCCTATGTACTTTATGAGTCAATAAAAATATAACTATTAAAAGACTAAAAATGGCATTTTCTATTTAATTCAAATCTTGCGTTAATTTTGTACTTAATCGATTGACGGAAAATTATTGATATTTCGTTACAGTTTTGTGAGGAATACGCGCAAATCTTTTGTATCAGTAATATAAATTTTTTCAACTAGATATGAGGAGGGTAATGCTATCCAAAATTTCTTTCATTTTTCCAGAGCTCATGATATTTTCTGGATATTTCTACCTGCCGCCAAAATTGTTGATAGTTTTGTTTAAATCACATAAATTATCATAAACTCCCACTTACAACTTGGCAACCACCATTATCGCCAACGTAGACCCCATTGAGCCGGCTGTGGACCACCTGGACAGCTTTGGGAATCATTCGAAGAAGTATACGACTACCAAGAATTATGTTCCCAATGTGGACTTACACTTTGAAATGTAATCTGGGGTTTATATATTTTAGAACATATTTTCATAAACCACATCTATAACGGATTACCCCTAGTCCTGAAAAAATACACGGCCAACTACATAACAAAGAATTATAAGTGACATGGAGAGACTACATGACTTCCCTTCAGGACAAAGGGAACCTCAGACTTGTTCTTGCATACAAAGGGTAGAAAAACATGTAGTAAGGAAGTTCGTTTACAACACCCTATTCCTTGTTTGTCGCTTCAAGGGTCGCATACAGCTTGCGAAACTGGTTCATGACCTCACGGCCATGGGAAACAACTGGGTGGATACAGGTTTTTAGTGTAACCATAGAATAACATACAGGGTACAACCGAAAATTGCTTGAATAGGTCAGTCATTGTAGCAAGTGCCTATCGTTGCTATTAGAATTCAGGTTGAACGATATACAAGAGCTTATGAGTGGCGTGTATGTCCTTATGGTTTCCTAAGCATCCGCGAAAATTACCTTGCTAGATATAAACTGTGGAGATGTACCTCCCCTTCCCCCAGACGATTATGTCCATAAATAAAGGGACTGAAAGGACTTGAGAACCAATTGTGCTATCAAGACGAATTTAAGGTCACCTCACATGTCAAAATCCATCAAGCTGTTTGGGCTGTAGCCTGTGTAATAGAAACCAAAAAGTTGAAGCTTATGTTTGAAGTGGCCATTTTCGTCTTATAATGATTTAGTATACATAGTGTAGCTCGCAATGTTAAGACATATGATGACATATAGTTTGCCAAAATCCATCAAGCTATCTATAGTAAGTTGTAGCCAGTGAAATGACAACTTGAAGGTCGAATGTTTCTATAAAAATTCGTCATTTTGTCGTTATAAAATTTTAGCATACCCAGTGTCACTCACGCTGTCAAGATAAATATAGAGACACCTTCTATGTTTAAATCCATCGAGCCTGACAAGCATCTAGAATAGGAATTTCAAAGTTGAAATTCTCGATGAAAATTCACCAATTAGATTTTATAAACCTTTAGTACAATTACTCAATTATCTGTACATGCTAGCATTTTTCAAAAATATGAATTTAACGACAATTGTCAAAAAATTGACTTCTATCCTCACTCTGTGAGAATTAAGGAACAAACGAATCCTTGACCGGCTCTTTTTAGTCCGAATTCGTTAGTTTAAGCTGTAGTCCAAGAAATAGGAATTTCAAGGTTAATTTTATTCAGTTGAAGAGCATTTAATTCCCAATTGTAGGCAGCACCTTCGTCTTCTTCTTGAGACAAAAGTCTTGTTGAACATGCATTCTGATACTGCCACTGTTACCCCTCCCTTAATTTTGGTATATGGGCGCCTATGTCAGTGTCCTTAAAATAAAGTAATTTTTTTGCTTAAAGTTAATAAGGCCAAGGAATAAGAGGTCTTCCAGAGGACTACAATTAAGGCGAAGTCATACTCATTTTTTTTATACCGTACCATCCTAAATGCCAATTCGGCGTGGCTGCTTAAATAAATGTTGTTAATCCGATTTTTCAAACTGTCTATGGTGACTGAAAATGGGAAAAGCCTCCTCATACAACCTTGATAGCCTAGGGACAATGAAGCTGACGTATGGGCCAGTTCTGAGTGTACGAAGTCCGACACTGTTAAGGTGCGTATTCATCTGAGCACGAACGGGAACGAGGCAAGGCGAGGCCGAACGGACGCTTGCCGCAGCGAACAAAGTAGCTATCCGCCGCACACCCGAATAGATGGAAATATTTGATCAGTCCGCACTACGCTCTAAACTAACTAACAATAATTTCGCAAAAATAGTATGGCTGATGACGACGTTCTAGTAATCAGTACTGCAGCATTTATTGTGATAGCCGGTCTATCCAAAAGAAAGAAGAAAAAGCGCTGGTGGACTACTAAAATATATCGTAATAGGTTGGTTACACGTGGAAAATTATTCTTAAATGATTTGATGCAGGAGGACGGAGCACATTTTCGAAATTTTACCAGAATGTCATCCGACGACTTTTTTTATTTATTGGAATCAATTCGTGACAAAATTACGAGAAGTGACACACATTTTCGAAAAGCCATCACTGCTGAGGAAAGATTGGCCATAACATTAAGATACTTGGCAACTGGTGACTCGTTTAGTAGTCTACAATATTTATTCAACGTATCAAAACAAGTTATTTCAAAATTTGTCCCGGAAGTATGCAAAGAAATAATAAATACATTGAGTCAACACGTAAAGGTATGTTTAATTCAATCTTAACTAACATTTCACGTATCATATTTCATCATATTTCGAGAAGTAGGTAGCTGTAGTTAGCTGGTTAGCAGTTTGTTGGCTTGAATTGACTTGAAAGATGAGTGAATTCTCGGACGTAATCTCCTGGTGGTCGGGTGGCACTTCCTGGCTATGGGTGCTCGAGTGCTCACTGAATGATTGTTGTGGTGCATGTTCATTATATTGTTGTATATTACTTTGAGGACATTGAAGTGGTGATGGAGTACAAGATGGAGGTCCTACTGATGATATTGACGAAGAAGGAGACGGTAGTGAATTATAAGTACGAAAGTTTTGACAAATAGATGTTGAAGGTTGAAATGTTTGTTGGGATGGTGATAACACCTGAGGGGAAATTGGTAAAGAGTCCAGTTCAGCTTGGAAAATAAGATTATGTATTTGATGTTGCAAAACAGCTCTCGTATGAGGGCTAAACTTTCGCATTTTTTGTGCGATAAAGTCAGCAAACATTGAGCATTCATCTTTACTCTGAGTGGCTGTTCTGCTTTTTAAAATATCGTAGGCCTCTTGTATACGAGGGTCCTCGTTTTTTTTTTCTTTTCGGAGCATTTTTATGTGGTGACAAAAACTTTTTTTGCGAAGAAATAGGATTTTGGTCCTCAACAATTCGGTCTGTATTGTCAGTAGTTTCTTCATCAACTTCTATGATGTCGGATGAAGCAGGATGATTCTGAAAAAATATATTTTTTTATTTTTTAGGTACCTTCTACAACAGATGAATGGTTAAAAATAGCAGAAAAGTTCAACGAAACGTGGAATTTTCCACATTGCTTAGGAGCCCTTGATGGGAAACATATACCGCTGCAATGTCCTATCAATAGCGGTAGCATTTATTATAATTACAAATCAAATTTTAGTATTGTATTAATGGCTCTTGTTGATGGTGACTACAATTTTATTTTTGTGGACGTTGGTTGCCAGGGTGGTGTTTCTGACGGAGGTGTATTCAAAAACTGCCAGTTGTACAAAGATATGGAAAAAAACATTTTGAAATTTCCAGGGTGCTCACCTCTACCTGGCAGGAACAAAGAAATGCCGTACGTATTTGTTGCCGACGAGGCGTTTGCACTAACAGAAAATATAATGAAACCATACTCCGGTCGTCATCGCAAAGGTTCTAAAGAACGGATTTTCAATTATCGACTGAGTAGGGCTCGTCGAATAGTTGAAAATGCTTTTGGAATTATTTCTGCTGTTTTTCAAGTCTTGAGAAAGCCAATGTTGCTGGAGCCAGAGACGGCAAAAGTAGTAGTCATGGCAACCATTTGTTTACACAATTTCTTGCGTAAAAGCCATGTCAAGAAATATCTATACACCGGATGGAACTTTTGACAAAGAAAAAAATGGAAAAATCATTCCTGGCTCGTGGCGAGAAGGCAACGGTGACAAATCTTCTTTAGCTCCATTGGAAAATGTTCCACGTAAATCAAGTATTTCCGCACAAAATATACGAGCAGAGTTTACTGATTATTTCTGCTCACATGGTTCTGTTCCTTGGCAAAATGATTACGCCTAAAATATTGTAAAATTTTTTTTCCAATAAATTCGTTTATGCAACTAGTATATAATTGTTTTATGTATGTATTATCTCCTATTTAAGACAGAAACTGTGCCACAGAGTTTATGTGTAATCTTTGCATCTTATCTTGTCTCCAAAAATGTCCAGTGGACGGCTTGACCATCTTTTCTGGGACACCCTGTATATGTAGTTAAACAAACAAAAAAAAAACACAAAAAACAGACTCACTTAAAAAGAAAATCAAAAATATCAAATTATTAATACGTACGGACAATGTTTCTTGTAGCTCTTCTGGGTCATCTAGAAATTTTAGGCTATCCCATGCAAACCATTTGGACTCATAAATTTCGTTTCTTCCTGAAATTAAAAAAAATATTATACTTTTGGTTTCATCAGAATTATTTCTATTGAAAAAATATTATAAACATTGGTGCTTCAACTTACCTTTACCTGTTCCCATGCTTTTAGCAATTCTATTTTTTTCCCTCCTTCTTGAACCTCGAAGACTATCAATTTCCTTTTTTAAGACGTCCACGGATTCATTACATATTTCACCTATCTCTCTCCATGCATCTTCTTTTCTGATTATATTATAATAATGTTTATCGTTCTTTTTCCACAATATCGGGCGCTTTTCATACTCTTTAATGAAAGATATTGTTTTTTCCGTGTCCCAACTCATATTTTACCAATCGGCGGGCGGCACGAACGTACGATGACTAAACAAACTGTCCACATCTAAACGCGCGAGGCAAAATTTGTCTTTGATGTACCGACTACCTTCGGATGGCTCCCGAACTGCCTCGCTCCATACGACGGACGGCCGAACGCAACGTGGCGCGCCTCGGATGTACGTCCACATCTGCACATACGCCATGCCTCGTTCCCGTTCGTGCTCAGATGAATACGCGCCTTTAGGATGGGAGGCTGAAGTCAGGCGGATCAGTTTGGCAGGTATATCGCGCGGCGGCATCATGTAGGAGAGCTCTGAGAAGGAAAGTCCGTTAACATAGCTAGATGGCCTTGGGGTCCCTAGGTGCGGACAGGACCCGAGACTGCCCGTTAGAGAAGAGCATCGAACAGTCGGACAGCCCTTCTCTGAACAGCATCGAGCAGAGATAATGTAGTCGGGGCAAGAGCACCCCAAACTTATGAGCATCACTTAAGGCTAGGTCTTATCTACGGTTGTACCGAGTGAGGAGGTTATGGAATCAAAGGTTCTTTGGAAGGACTTGCCCACACATCGGAACCGGATGAGCGCTAGGGCACTTCTTGTTACTTAAGGTACTGTGTTTTGGAAGCATTAAATTGTACCAGATTATTGCGCTCTCAAGCAATGACAAACTCCATGCCTCTCGTTAGAGAGAACATTGCTGCTAGTCTTCTTTTTCATTATTGTCACTGGATTTCTACGTAGCCTTATACGTCAATAATTTCTGACGTCCATGCTACACGGTCACTAAGTCTGACATTCTACGATAAATGCTAACAGATCACGATAAGAACCCATCGTGTGACATTGGCTTGAAAGTGGATAGCTAAAAAGTATTTTTATGTATGGAACGCCTTAGGTTATGGGGTGAACCTGATTTCTGTGAAACGGAATATCCCACGAAAAGCAGCGTATGTTGGCTTAAGTTTCTGCCTATACAATACACGGTTACTTTCATTGTGTGGAGAATAATGAAGTGATACTCCAGGGATCTATCTGACGCTCAGATGAAAAATGAAGAAAGCTTATAGCCTGGACTTCGAGGAAGCGAGAAGCTACGCCAAGTAATTTCTACACTTTTTGCTCCTTCTTTCTGAAGGAATGCGAGACAAAATATTAAATCATTTTATATGTAATAAAGTCCTTCACGAGTACACTGCGATCGCTCGTTCAAAACATGACAAATTTTGAAAACATGGAAAGGTGACTTCAGATTTTTGAGGATCTCAAACGTTGACTTTTTCACGTAGAACAAACCATCTATAAAATCATATTTTTTTGTAAATAACCCAGTCAGAACGTAAACATAGATGCCGTGGTAGATTAGAGATAATAAACATTTTCAATATAACAAAAACTAACAATAAACTTTACGACCGAAGAACCAGTCGACAATGCAGTTACTTGGTATTATTTGATTGCAATACTTGTAAGCGTTTTCTCGACGTTGTGTCGTTTTTTAACCTTTCGTTTCAGTTATAAACTTTGCCATTAATTTTTTGTTTGTCTGCTTAACATAGGCGGCGATTCATAAGCAAAATAAACACACCAGTAATCAGATAAAATATAAACAGCCGAAGAAATTGCTCATCAAAAATTGAAGAAAATCAGCGGAAATCTGGTTATCCCAATTTTCCTGGAAGCAAATCAAAATTTTGATCATGGAACCTAAAAGGATGGATAAAAATTCACATAATATGCGTCGAGCTTTTAAGTTGGCCAAACTATGATATCCTGTGTTTAAAATATCAAAAGTTGGAGCAAATCGGTTTAAATGCAATTTTGATTCCCCTTCTTATAGGCTTTCTTGTATGAGGTTTATGGGGCTCCTCGCAACTGGCTGTCGAATTATTAAAAGCAAAGGACACCTCCTTTACTTTCGGACTTCATTGCATCAGGTGAGGCAGATTTAATTAATCACGAAAGTACACAAACGTTAGCCATCAGTAACTGACTGAACGCTACTTTTATTTTGAAAAATATACTAATGTTTTTCGTATACCTTGATATCAAATTTACAAAAAGGTTAATTGTAACTCAAAAACCACTTTTACAATCTCCCATAAACCTCATATGGAAAATGGCTTGTTAAAATTTTGAGAAATCGTTTATTTTGGCTTCTCGACCACCGTGCATGATCTATCGAAAAAACTGAAACAGTAAATGGATACAAAAAAATTGGGATCATAAAATTTTTCTGGTGAAAAATTTAGTCGTCGAGCTGTCAAAGTTACGGAGATATAATTTGTCAAAGATGTATGTTTTTTTTGATAAATTTATAAATAAGAGGCTATAAAATGTAACATCAAATTGCTCCGCTTGAAAAATCATTTTCGAATTTGCAATTAAATGTAGGTCTCTTCATTTAAAACATGTATGTTTGGGCCTCCACGTAGTTATTTATGTATCACCTTTTTATTAGCTGCAATTTTTGTGATTATCTTTTTTAGATACCATGCGTAAACGCAGAGTTATCGACCAAGTCTGTACTGTCGAGTCTTTCTGAAAATGATTAAAGTGTGACAGTCCTTCGATCTTCGGTCTAGAACGTTAGATTTTTATATCCTCTGTTATCCAAGGTTTCCGTTACAGAGCAAACACGCAACTACAATTGCACCTCTCTCCAGGGGATTTATGCAAGAGTAAGATACAAAACATCAAAATAATAAATAACGCCTTACAGAATATGTTGCACTGAACATTTTACGACACTACCGCAGTTTTTATTGCCGCCATTTAAGTTATACTAGTTGTTGCCGAGATTGTATTCTATAACGGTGTTTTTATAGCACCTCCCAAATCTGCATCTTGCATCATATAACAATAAAACTCCAGGAGCATAATGCACGCCAGAGTTCGTTGACTGTTTAAAAAATTGTACCGTCGGGAGTGCAGCTGGTAGAGAGCTTGCTGACCCTTTTGGGTTTATGGCTATTTTATACCCGTAGTTGAAAATAGCGCGGAATATAACCACAACTTTGTGTCAAAGGGCGTTTTATCAAATGCTTTAGCTCTTTTCCAAAAGTTGTCTTGGATTGCTCTCTGTGCTCAGTTATCAATGTGTTTTCAGTTACATTGAGAAGGATCGGGATTATGTTATCATCCTCGGATATATGGTTGGAGTCTTATTGATAAAAGAGCCATTTGGCACCCGTACCTGGTAACTTGAAAACTGACTTTAGATCGATTTAGCTATCATTCGCTTCATGTTCACTTGTAGTAGCTGTAACGTGTTGTCTAAGCGACATGACACTTGAGCTACATGGCTTACCTCTGACGTGATATAACATCTGCTTCAGAAATGGCACTGGTCGGTGCCGTTTATGGCAGCTATGACCGTAGCTATAAGTTATACGCGATAGCTGGGAGGAAATACTACAGCGCACAGTGTAATAATAATCTGGGCTGGTGATGACTCCGTTGGTTTTACAAAGCACGGCGGTGAAATATGAGTTGCAGAATATTAGGCAACACGGTCGTTGAGCCATTCCTTCATAGGTGGCGCTCACTCAGAGTAGGATGGAATGAGCTAGCGACTACTTAGTATACAAGTTGACATTAAACTGACTTTTAGTGGGATTATGTCGATCTTTCACATAATACCCTTATGGTCGAATGTAACGTAAGGGTCACCCTACTAGAAGCAATATGATGAGCTGTAAAAGATCTCAAGTAATTTAATTTAAAAAACAAATATTGCGTACTCCAAATTATCAATCGTCTGTCCTTATCTCTAGATATAAGGAAGACTGGGTTCACTTGCTAAATAATTGCAGCCACTAAGCTTGTTGCACACTTGAGTCCGGGGCTATGGTTGGAGAGACACCAACACAATGCAAATTTCTGGGACCCTGGACGGTGGTGAAAATTGAAGAGCTCTCTTGTCGTTATTCTCAAAGGTATGAACTTTATAGAGATAATAACCGAAGTGGACATGTACCTACCTTCCAATATACTGGGTGCTATTTAAGTATCTTGCGAAACTCCTTCGGTGACTCTAAGCAAAAATGTCGTTTTTTCCTTTTTTTTAATGTTTCCCGTTTTTATTTGAACCGTTAAAATTTAGCAGGTACATATCGTCTCAAATTTAACTTAGTTCGCTTAAGAAAATGACTTTATCAACGCCATCTAGATTATTTAAACCAAATCCGTTAAATGTTTGCATTTAACGGGTTTAGGTTTTATTGAGACATTTTTCTTCTTCGATTTGGTCCAATTTAACCAACCTAAGCATTGCGTATGTACAATTCTCACAATTTTTCACGAAAAAATAGATTTTTAAAAAGGCTGTACCCTGTATCTTGAAAACAAAACATTACAGTACCTATGCTTATATAAACTTCACCGAATTTAGCAGAGTTTGTTTAAGAAAATTGCGTTATCAACGCCATCTAGATTGTTTAAACCAAAGTGTTTGCATTTGATGGGTTTAGGTTTTATTGGGACATTTTTCTTCTTCGATCTGGCCAAATTCAACCAACCTAAGCATTGCGTATGTACCTATCAATTCTCTCAAATTTTTGCGGAAAATAGATTTTCAATGCAGTTCTAGTACCCTGTACCTCGAAAACGAAACATTACGTATGCTTATATAAACTTCACCTGTAAGTGTCACTCTAAGTATCATTCCTAGAAGTTTGGTCAGGTACTTATCAACACCCTGTTAACCAACTCTAACTCCGACCCTGTCTGCATATAACCTTTTCCTCCATATGCTGTTGCTGGATCTCAATTTTACTGTAAAACAAAAGATTACATCTTGACGGCAGTAAATCAATGAGTGGGTATGCCGAGCAAAAAAAAATCGACGGCCGAAAAACAATCATTTAAAATCCAAGCAAAGAAAGGTGGAGAAGAACTGAACTCTGCAGCTGCCGTTTTCGGCGTCCGTCGCCTGAAGAAAAGGTGGCTATGGACGGACGCTGATCATCTTTTGTTGGGGCAATGGCCCACCGGGATTATATACCGGG